TCAGTTTCTCAACAGCAGCTCTATTGCAATTTTTGGCGATTCTTTGCTGTGAGTACTGCTCTGTAAGTGTAGGATGCTTACCAGCACCTCTGGCGTCTACCTGTTGGTGCCAGCAGCACCCCCTCCACATTTGTGATGATCAGGTGTCCCCTGGGGGACGAAAGTGCCCCTCGTGGAGAAGCACCGATCTAAATGATGCAGCCAGGCCTTCACGGAGGACAGCAGAAGGAGGCTTCCGTGGAGTCTTTAAAAAGCCAGAGACCTTTCCGTTTCCCTGCTACAAGCTATCATTCAATTTTTTTTTCTTATTCATATTCTTTGTTTTAAAGTTTACTTATTTATTTCGAGAGAGAAGTGAGCAAGCATGAGCGGGGGAGGGACAGAGAGAGAGGGAGAGAGAACCCCTAGTGGACTCTGTGCTGTCAGCGCAGAGCCCGACACGGGACTCCATCTCACAAACCATGAGACCATGACCCGAGCCAAAATCAAGACTTGACGCTCAACTGACTGACCCCCCCCCCAGGCGCCCCTCCTATTCGTATTCTTTAACCAGCCTAGATTCTGTGATGCTGCTGCATGTGGGCAAGAGGAAGATCCTCTTTGAAAATGAACCAAACAGTAAATTCTCCACTGAACAGATGAGGTTCGTCATCCGTGGGGGAAAATCAAGAGACTATCTGCAAATGTCTGCCTGAAGTTCTCTGGAGAGAACTACTCCAGAACTACTCTCTGGAGTAGTACCAGCCCAGTCTCCTCCAATTCCGTGATGTAGGAGTCTTGGCTGGAATGTAATTGTGGTTCCATCCTTGCGAACCTAATTAAGTGTATCACAGCCCACTTCGAGACCAGTTGCATGAAAAGAAGGAAGTTGTTCAGCTATGGTACCCTGGCGATCACTGGATCCAGGACAGAGGGTGCTTTGGACACGTGGACTCTGGTTTAGGGTTTTCCTGGTACAACCATGCCCAGAGTGGGTGAGAAAGAGTGCCCCGAGTTTCCCTAGCCAATGACCCTGAAAGCTACAAATACTAAGCAAATTCTAGTAACGTGGCTCCAGGGTAGCTTGCCCACAAGGAGAAAGAGGCCTTGTCTGAGGATTCCATCCATTGGTGTGACACAAGAAGTCCCAGTTGAGCAGTTTCTTGGCTGACATAATGCAGATGGGCAGTGTGAAGAGAAATACTTCCAGGGAAGTCTATCTTGTCTCTACCATTAGATGCTGTGCCTTCTTTTTCCTTCCCTCACGAGCACAGGCCTCTGCCCTAAGCTTATAAAGAATGAGAAGAGAGATGCTCCCAGACACATGTATGTTCAAGAGTTGCTCTACCCATCATGAGGCCCTGGGCAGCTTCCTGCTCTGCTTGCCATTCTAATTCAAGGGGGTTGGGTCCATTACCGTGAGGAGAAAGAGAGAGTGCAAATAGTCACTCATGCTATGTGGGTTGAAGTACTGGCTATTGTGTTTACTTTTTATTTGCTTGTTATACTGACCATGAAGCCAATGCCATTCTTGGCACGTCAGCCCATGTTGTCTTCGTCTTCACAAAAAGGCTGTGAGGAAGGCATCTCTAGTTTTGACACCTGAGGAAACTGAAGCTTACGGAAGTTGAGTGACTTCCTCAGGACCCATATGCTAGCAATGGGCCGTTGAAATTCAGCCCTTTTGGGCTCCAATTGCATTGTCCTTCTAAATACGTCACAGCAACCTTCTAGGTGACTTTGTTGGATGCTGTGTAGTTGTGTTTTCTGACCTCACTGTTTAGGGATGGACAGCTTTCAAAGATGGATGATTCAGTCAGGAAACATCTCCTGAAGGCCTTGGGATAAAATCATTGAAAGATGTCTATCTTTAAACAGTAGGGTCAGAGAATAGTCTCCATGCCTAAACGATCACATGGCATTAGAGCCGAGAGGGGCTTCGGGAATTGGCTCATCCAAACTCGGCATTTGCAGATGGGGGACACAGGAGAGGGGAGGACTTATCCAGGGTGGCGTGGTAGAAAAGCCATACATGGAATATATGTAAGCTTCATTAAAGAAAGACTACAGGGTGCGGTAGGTGAATGGGGGTGCAGAGAGGGATGAATTAGAGTTAGGGTTGATGACGATGCAATTGATGGAAATAGGGAGGCTCAGAGATGGAGCTAGTGGCAGAAAGGTGAAAATAAGGTGAGTTTCTTTCCTTTTTTAAAAAAGTAATTTCTACCCCTAATTGTGGGACTTGAACTCACGGCCCCAAGATGGTGAGTCACATGTTCTACCTACTGAGCCAACCAGATGCCCTGGTGAATTTGTTTCTGAAGAATTGAACTTGAAAAGCCAAGTAACGGGAAATTCCAATTGAAGATTCCAAGACCTGAGGAGAGAAGTCATGTCCCAGAAGCTGTGAAATTACATCTCCAAGTGAGAGGCCTGGCAGTGAGATCCGGACACCCAAGACAAGGCTCTGCCGTGCTCGACAGATTTTTCGCCACTTAGGTTAAGGCAGAGGAAGGGTGTTTGTCACATCTACAGTCCTTGCAAAGCTAAATGCCACACGTGTCACAATCAATAGGTAAAATAACCAAAATGGCCAAAAAGAAGAACTGAAATGAACATAAACTTTACCAAGGATCAATGCAAAGTTCTGCGTTTATGTTCAGGAAATCAGTTACACAACTACGGAATTAAGAAGAATAGCAGTGATATTAATGACTGCCAGTTTTAATCTAACAGTTATTATGTTCCAGGATCACTATGTGCCCTTGATGGACACTCACTATCTCTCTATTTTTGTGGCCAAGAGTTTAGGCAAAGTCACATAAATTGTGATAAACCTAAGGATATAAACACAGCTCTTCACTTATACTGTCACCTGGTACCAAATAATTGCAGTTACGCAACCTTCCGAATTGGTGTCAGTCAGGACAGACGGCACAAATCACAGGGATCAAGTATTTCATTTCCCTATTCTTTGACATCCCACCTAATTACAGAAAAGATTTAAGGTGGTGCTTCAAGTCCATCATGTTTACAATTTCCTGTCTTTGAAAGGCTCCACGTCGGCAGTGCACATTTTACCAAAACAGGCCAATTCTGTAAAGACAACTGAGTAACCAAGTGGAAAAAAATTTACTTCTGCTTCAGCGGATGAGTGTGGTGTATGATTATCCACAATATAATTTTGGTTTCCCGCCTTATAATCTATGGTTGTATACTGCCTATTGACCACTCACTCTGTGATTAAGCTGGACTTTGTCCCAGGAGGGTAGAGGGTGGAGCTCATATGATGATTCAGGTTCTATTCCCTTTCCTTATTTAAATTCCCATCTGGATTTCCTAAAAGAGGTTCTAAGGCTTAGCGTAGCTCCAGGTTATGGAATGTCTGGAAAGGACTATATAAAACCCTCTTGCTCATTTGAGAGAAGCCCTAATATCCATGCCTTGTTGGTTTCTTTGGCATGTCTTTCCTACACTCTTTTCCTTTCACTTCTTACTGCTATGCCTCAAGTCCAGGCCTATGGCACTAGATGCTTAGGCTGCTTAACTGGCCCCATTACAGAGTATCCCTGCCCCCTATTACATGCTTGCTGGCATGACATTTCTATTCCTGTAAACCATTCTCTAACCCCTGTGGTTAGAGCCCTCACTGTCCTTTGTGAGCTGACTCCACCCTACACATCCCAATTTACCAGGACCTTCTGGTTCCATACACCCTACTCCATAGTCTCTGTTGGACAGAACACTCTCATCATCCCACCAATGGACTGTGTTCAAGTCCAGTTCCAAGTTGCGTTTCTCTATTTCCTCCCTCCCGGCTCGTTGTTTTTCCTCCAATTCTCACCCTACTTTTGTCTTACTTGCCTCTCAAACCTAGCTCTTGAAGCATTTTCTCCATGAGATCTTTCTCAGCTACTCCAATTCCCTTCTTATATTCATTTAGTCTCTTACTACTTTCATTGATTCATCTGCCCCCCCTCCCATGAGAGTGTAGTGACTCAAGACCAAGGGAAGGACTGAGGTACCTTCTTGGCCCCTGTCAGTGCAGGTCAAACCACAGTACCCAACAACACACCCTTGAAATGGCTGACCGTGCTGATGGAGCCTACGGGTCCCAGATCAGCAGTTCGTTTCAAAACACCATTTACCAAACACCTAACCGGTATAAGATCCAAATTCTCACTGTGAAGGGCAGTCACTCTGCAAATTCCAGACTCATTTCTCTTAAATTTTGTCTCGAAACCTCTAATTGTCTAGCTCTTTATTATTTGTGATAGTTTACTTGTTGCACGTGTCACATCACCCCTGACAAACTGAAGGTCAAAGTGGTAGTTGGAATATAAAACACTCACTGAACATTTAAAATTTCCGATCTCCAACAACCATGATGCCGTTACCATGAAATAAAAAGATCTTCAAAATAAAAAGTTGGGATACTGTCTTTTCCACAGCTCAGAGGAGTTGTTTGATTCTTGCCCCTTGGGCCACTTCTGGTTTTTAATTTCTAAGTGGCTTTTTATTAGATAATTGCTATAGTGACAAAATAACACTGGAAAAACAGATCTCATGTCCCCACACAATTGTGATATCCACCCACAAAATAAATAAGAGACAACTGCAATGAATACAAATGATTACAACCATCTTTAACATTAAACATTAAATAGTAATCCACAATGAAATGGTTGAGATTCAGATTAGACAAACGCATCCTTTGAATAATTTGTTGTATTCAGGCTCTGAAAGCTGAACTTCAGTAGAATCTAAGTCCTTGGGTTTTCTTTTTTACCGTCTCCCCAGGGCTTCCTACATGCATCTTTCAATGACAAAAGCCAGCTAGAATAAGCCCACTTGTTCCTACATATTTCTTTAAAAACTCAGGGTACTTCTCTATAGCAATTGCCACCCACTGCCTTACAACGAGCAAAGTATTCCAGGATTTCAGTTTTTCTCAGAATCAGTAGATCATTAAAGAAAAAAAAAAAAAAGGAAGGAGAAGTATTGGATGGGGAAAATCTTACCTCAACTTCTGACTGGCAGGGACAGTTATTTTGTTAAGCTTGTCCATTCTTTTTGTTAATTATAAGAGCCACGAATAACCGTCAGTGGTAAGGTCAGCAGTCACTGGCCCTCCTAGGGAGTAGCATGGTAAGCCTTTGATCTCAAGGGTCCCAGTCACTTGAGTCTGATTTCCGAGAGAGTGCCGGCTGCTGGCAGACACCCTACAGTAGGGAGAAGTAAAACTTGCTCGAGCACATAGTCAAGTTTCATGTTTCTACACAATCATGTGATCTGGGTAGCCAGCCAGCTTGGCTGATTACTCCACGTTGTGTAAACTTTAATAGTGAAACCTATTGGACATGCAAATTTCTTTCCAGCTGCTTTCTTTTATAACCAGATTTGTAATCAGGTCAGGACGGGCTTCTGGCTGGTCACTACTTCCTGTTGTCCCAAACACATATAGTCCCTGTTTTCAGCAGGTGTCATTCTGTCCCCAGTAGCTTCCTGGGCTCAAGAAAAAGCAGAATAATCAATTCTCAGGTCTCTTTGGGACTTTCTGCTCATTTGCATAAATTCATGGATAAACTTTTCCACTTAAAGAACCATGATATGAAAATAGCATTTCTGTACTGTCATTTAGTGAGCAGAAGGCAGTTTAAGATCAGGGAGGAAGAAAATGAGAGAAACGGTTCCTTTTATGCCTGGCACACTTCCCTGTAGCCAGCAAGCACACCCTGCTCACCTTGGTGAGGAAGGTGCACATTTACCACATTTGCCCAGGTGACCAGTCCTCTTCTGGGTCTGAAGAATACAGAGAAAGGACAGAGTAGACGTTCCAAGTTGCCTCTTCTGGTACAGACCCCAGGTCTGGCTGAAGATAGAGGGGGAAGGAGAGGAAGAGAAGAACTGAAGGAGATGGGGTGGGGGAGTGAAGAGGAGAAGGGAAAAGGGGAGGAGGAAGAGGGGAAGAGAAGGAAGGAAGGGGAAGAAGGTGGGAGGAGGAGGGGAGGGAAGAGGAAGAGGAGGAGGGGAAGGAGGTGAAGGAAGAGGGGAGAGAGGTGGAGGAGGAGGGGAGGGAGATGGAGGAGGAGGGGAGGAGGAGGAGGAGCGGGAGATGGAGGAGGAGGAGGAGGGGAGGGAGGAGGGAGGAGGAGGAGGAGAAGGAGCAGTGGTACTGGCAGAGGTGGAAGTCGTAGGTGGATTTCTTCCCTTCTCTACTTCTTCTTTGTACAAACAGAAGTTCTGTATTTCTCTAGGTAAAGCTTGAGGTACTACCTCTGAATTTCTAGTTCGACCAGATGATCAGGAGCAGAATCCTCAGAGCTATTAAAGGGTGGGGCCCTTCTGCTTGGCCAAGCCACTGAATTGGCCAGGCTAGCAAGGGAGCAGACGATCTTTCACAAGAAAAATGCAAGCACTTGCGTCTTCCAGTTGTTTATTTTCCCCAAACGAGCAGCTCAATTTGCTTGCAGCGTATCCCGAGAGAGCTCTAGACCCCCGCCATCCTCTCTCCATAGTTCTTAACTGAAAGAGACTAGTAGACCAGGATGGTGAAGGCTATTGCAACATCATCAAGGATTAAGAAAATCAAGCTTAACTGAATGGGATGATGATAGCCTGTGTCTTCTAAATTACTGTAAAGTGCACCCCATCAGCCACTTGACTTTTCTGTCAACCAACAACTCTGTTTAGCACCTGGACTGGCAACTTCTTATTTCCCCAGAGAAAAAAAAAAGCAGGGGCAAGAGTCACACTTCTGCTTTTTCTTTTTACAGCCACTTGTCTTTCTTCTTTTTTTACTGTATTTGGTCTGACATAATAAAAATGAGAGTCTGCTTTTCCAGACTGGACATTTTGCCCCATGTGGTGTGTAGTGTGACGGCCATATTGTTCCAGGCTGCCATGACTGGTCTGTAGCTGCAACCAGCTTACCCAGAAGATTAGTGAAAACATGGAAATTGAGGATACCAAGTCTTAGCTGATTACTTGTGAAAAGAATGAGGCCACACATGGTTTCCACAGCACACGGAGAACAACATAGCATAATAAACAGTCATGATTTGCACAGCACAGTGGATATGAGTTTTAATCACTAGATGAACAGATGAAAAATGGATAGTCCCAACCAACCTTAAAGAAAATTTGGAACTCTAACATACTGTTGATAAAAATACAAGTGGGTGCAATCACTCTGGAAACACTTTGGTATCACCAAAGCAATTTAGATCATAGACATGATGAAATAGTACGAATATACCATGTACACCAAGGTCACATGCAAGAATTGTCACAGAAGCACCATTTTTAATAGAAAACTCAAAAACACTGGCAATAACACAATTGCCGATCAACGGGAAAATGAATAAATTAATTGTGGCCTATGGATGCAATGGAGTACTATTCAACAGTGAAAATGAGTGAAGTACAGTTGCATAAGTATGGATAAATAACAAAATAATTTGGGCAAGAAAGGCAAGTTAAAGAAGATCACACATCATGATTTCTGTTATATTAATGTTAAAGACATGTAAAACTAATATATTATTTAAGACGCATACCTATAGGTCAAACAGAGAGAGGGAATGATAAATGTAAAATTCAGGTGAATGGTTACCAGGAAGTGGGATCACAGTGAAGGGGCATACAGGGCTTCAAAAGCAATGGTGGTGTCCTACTTCTGAAGTCAAGTGGCAGGTATATAAGTACCTACTGTATGTATTAAATATTTAACAAAAATAATTAAAAGAAGATATGGTCTAGGGGCACCTGGGTGGCTCAGTTGGTTAAGTGTCTGACTTCAGCTCAGGTCATGATCTCACAGTTCGTGAGGTCGAGCCCCGCATCAGGCTCTGTGCTGACAGCTCAGAGCCTAGAGTGTGCTTTGGATTTTGTGTCTCCCTCTCTCTGCCCCTCCCCTGCTCATGCTGTCTCTCTCTCTCTCTCTCTCAAAAATAAATAATCTTTAAAAATTTTTTTTAAATAAAAAGAAGATATGGTCTAGATTATGGGGCAAAGCCAGGATAGACTGTCTAAGTTTCAGTTAGCTGTGTGAGATGTCGGAGCTTGAGAACAAAAAGACAGATTATATTGGAGCTTGGGGATGAGACCCAAGCAACCCTGGTTTCTCTTGGGTCTTTCCTTGCATCCACTGACAAAAAACAACTACATACTATTGAAAGCTTTCCATATTTCCATATTATGACATTCATTTCATATGTGAAGAAACTGATTTGTAGAGAGGTTAAGTAAGTGGCTCAAAGTTCTACCACTCACTCATGGAAGAGCTGGGCCTCAAACCCAAGCCTGTTTCCATACTTTAAGCTGAGAATCACAGGCCTTTGCCATCACAAGAGAGATCTGTGATTCAGCAGAGGGCCTGCTCTGACATAAGGTCAGACCTTGACCTTGGGTGAATCACTTAGTCTCCCTGGCCTCAGCTCATCTTCCGAGGACAGAAAGCGGATTCAAGGAGAGCTCAGGCTCCTTCTGACGTGGTCTCTGAATACTGGCCCACGTGCACAGAAGTTAGATTACACCAATCGCAACACCCTCATGGTGTCCAGAAGAGAAGCTTCTGATGGTCTTTGCCAGATTGCTTCCCAATGACGCACTGGGTGGTTGTGGCAGTTTACAGAGCCTTGGAAGTAGTCCAAGTCTTCACTGGAACTGAAAGTTCAGCTACTCTGCTCTGCCACCCACCTGCTGATGGCTTTTCCCCTGCCAGCGCTGGTTCAGACACACCGCCAGAGTAGGCAAGGTGTGATGTTGGCACTGTGGTTCTGCGGTTCTAGCCGTAACCTACTCGCATGATGGTCAGCCTCACAGCAGGTAGGAGGGGGCTACTGTTTATCATTCCCGTTTATGATGTGAAGTCTGAGCCTCAGAAAGGTGACATTACTTACCTAGGGCCATCTAGTCTTCCTGCCCCCTAAGCCAGGCCCCAAACACCCAAACCATTCCGTCTTTTTTCCTCTCTTGTGCTGGCCCTCTTTGTTGGGCTGGAGTGGGGTGGGTGTCTTGTAGGAACAGTGGCCCTGGTAGCTTTCTGACACTGCAGGCCAAAGTAGCTGTTGGTCAGACCTATGCCTAGTTAACTTGCGAATGTTAGTTAAGGGCCCAGATGGAAGAAGGTTTGGGGGGAAGCTAAGGGAGGAAGCCTGGCACGCAGAAAGCAAGTGGAAGAAAACAGCAAAAGAGGCCAGAAAAGGCAGAGAGAGAAAAGGAAGTGTGGCAGATGCTGACAGTCTGTTCCCCTCCTTTGCGGGGAGCAGGGTCAGAAAGGAAGAAGAGAACACATCTGTGACTTGAGCAAATGGGCAAAGGCTCTTTTCAGCCCAGGCTCGCTTTCGGTGAGAACAGTCTGCTCCCTATTTTACCTATTCGGTAAACTCAAAATTCTGTATGTCAAATTGGCCAGGAATGCAACATCTGTATTACTAGGAGAATAGCTTGGATGATAATAGACTTCACTCTCGTATCAGTCCAAGTCCCCAGTTGGAAGGAACATTAGAGTAGCCTATTGTCAGGATGGACAACTCTTGGTCAATGTGCCATCGCCTCTTCCCTTGCCTTCAGCCCTCAGAGCCAATCTGACGACAAGATTCTTTGTAGCATGTGTACTGTCACCCTGCTCTCATGCCAGCCTGGGCCCTTGCTGGATAACCACTCATCCTCCTGCTGCTTCTTCGTAGCCAGATCCACCCTCATTCTCATTCCCAGCCCACGTTCCCAGCTGATGACTCTTCTTAAGGACTACACAGGCTTTCCCCTTCTTCTAGAACCAAGTACGAATGTCATTCATGCCCCTCTGCAACTGAGTCTCCGCCTAGGAACCATCTTATTCCTCACAACTTCTGGGCAGGTGAGCATCCCTTTGGGGGTTTTCAAACTCTTTTCTCCACATCAGTCACACAGCTCAACCACGAGCAGGAGCAGGGTGGGAGGCAGATATATGGAGTCGGAGGCAACTAGGAGGCCAGGTTGTTCCCATCAGTCAGGGCCATGATGAAGCCAGATAATAGGCAAGGTAGAGGGTGTGGAGTGCTCTCTCCAAGGAATGGGAGTGTCAGAGATGCCGAGAGCCAAGGTAAGGCTCACCGCCTCTAGGGGTCTAGGTCCTGGAGGCCAGAAGTCCTTGGTAGCAGATGCTCTGATTGATTATAATTTTCTGTTATCTTCTGTTGAGTGAAGCTTTACTAGTTCCTAGTCTTCCTACCCAGGCAGTCCACCTGGATTTAAAGGGCTGCAAAACAAAAGCAGACTTGAGCAAATGGGGAGACATTCCATGTTTGTGGGTATGACTCAATATCATGCAGGTTTCCATTATCTCCAATTTAATATATAAATTCAATATGATGCCAAAAGATAAAACTAGATTCAAACCTCAAACCATTTACCCAAAACAACTCCTAATGGATCAGAGAGCTAAGTGTAAGAAGGAAGAAAATATAGTTGAATTTGACAACCTTCTCTATGACTTAAAATCCAGAGGTAATAAAAGAAAAAGTTGATAAATTTGACCTGAGAAACATAAAGAAACTTTTCACAGCATAAAAACCCTCATAAGCAGCATCAAAAGACAAAGGACAAATTGGGAGTAAAGTGTTGGATAATGTATCATAGATAACAAATACAGAGATGTCTAAAGATAATATTAGTACTATGTACAGAGCAAATAGAGATATGTATCTCTAATAGGTAAAAAGCTCCTAAAATTGAGATGAAAAAAATAAAATCCAACACAAAAAGTGGCCAAAACCCATGACCATGAAAGGTAAGAGGTCTTTGAATGGATGAAAAGATGCTCAACCACACTCCTATTAAAAGGAAGACTATCACCACGATAGTAAATATCTCACATATCAGTTTGGCCAAAATCCAAAAGTCTGATGCTAGGGAGCTCTGAGGACACAGACACCCTTTGCTTACAACACAGTACAGTCCTCATGGAGCACCACTGGCCGTCCCTAACAAAATTGCATGAATTTACCTTCTGGCTCAACCACCTCACTTTTAGGACCTTACCCTGCAGATACACATACATGCACACACATGCACATGCAACGTCTCCACACAGTTATTTATTATAAGTTTTTGCTTGTTTGTTTTTTGTTTTTTTGCAGCAGAAGATTGGGAAACCTAAATGGCTATCAATGGGGTCTGTCTGGTTAAAGAAATTTTGGCCCATCTTTATAGAGGAGTTCAGTGTAGCCACACAAAAAGGTGTGAATTCCAGGATTTGGTAATAGAGTAGACAGCTATTTTTTTTTTTTAAACAAGAAGGTAGAGGAAGTTTATACACACACAGTTACTGAAAAAATAAACATAAACATGGGAAGAATAAAACCAGCAGCTAATGAAAATAGTTACCAACAGGAGGCGAAAGGGAGATGAAAACAGAGCAGAAGTGATAAGGTTGGATATAGATTCTCTGGATCTTTTTATGGAGTTTTGACCTTTTTTTTTTTTTTAATGTTTATTTATTTTTGAGAGACAGAGAGAGACAGAGTGTGAGCAGGGGAGGGGCAGAGGGAGAGGGAGACACAGAATCTAAAGCAGGCTCCAGGCTCTGAGCTGTCAGCTCAGAGCCCAAAGTGGGGTTCAAACTCACGAACTGTGAGATCATGACCTGAGCTGAAGTTGGATGCTTAACCGACTGAACCATCCAGGCGCCCCTGGAGTTTTGACGTTTAAAGTAGGCTTGACATATCTTAAAAACAAAATTAAGGCAAAAATTTAAAAAAGGCAAACCTTACATATGGAAATACACAGAAACAAATGAATGAAAGGTACCATCACAGAGAACAGGATTATCTTGACTTTTGAACGCAGTCCTCTGTACACGCTCAATAAAATATGTTCTAAGAATGGAAATAACTGCAAAGAAATCTCAAGTTCCACTTACTACTTTTAGTAATAAAACATGCATTGTTAATTTTTAAATACTATCAAGCTCTGAAAAGGCTAAGGAGGGACCTTAGATTACTAAGCGAAAGAAGCCAACCTGAAAAGGCTGCACACTGTATGATTGCAACTATATAACATTCTGGAAAAGGCAAATTGGTGGAGAGAGTAAAAAGATCAGTGGTTACCACTTCTATAGACGCTTCCATATTGTTTCTCCGACCCCTGTTTCAAGTCTTATCTATCTCCAAATAGATCCCTGGCCTCCCCATGGCTCACCAACATTTCTGTTACTGCTATCCCTGGAACAGTTCCTCTGGATGAGGGTATCCCACTGCAGGGTAGGGTCCAGATTACCCAGACTGCAAGGTGCCTTGAAATTGGATTACATTTCAACCATAATTTGTCCGGTCTGGAATAGGCCTTACACAGCGAGTTACCAGATTTAGCAAGTAAAAATATAGAATGCCCAGATAAATTTTAGATAACCAACAGAAACTTTCTTAGTAAAAGCATGTCCCAAATATTGCATCATGTCCTATATTTTACCTAGCAACGCTAAGATGTGGAAATCAAGGACCAGAGGGTGAAATGACTTGCAAAAGTCCATTTTAGAGAAAGACCCCAAACCAGAAAAAAAGCAATAGCAGAAAGAACTAAGATCTCCTTACTCCCAGCCAATGCACGGTGTGTTCTGTTTTGCAAAGTCAACAATGCCTGTGGTCAAGACATGTTGAATCAGAGCAAGGAATCAGATTGCTTATGAAAAAATGTATAGTGCTTTTCTATTTATTTATTCTATTTATTTAACCTAAAAATTTTGTCCTCAGAGCAAAATGGCTTAAAACTCCAACTGCAGTTTACCTGAATGGAAGAATTCCAATTCCCTTTTTAGAAACTGGAAACATCCAAGCATGCGTGTGCCAGCCTGAAGTCATAATGAAAAAGTGCAGTTAGATCACTATCATCCTCCCAGAGAGTGACTTCTTGTCTCATGTGATTTCAACATTTTGCTCTTTTGTAAGTCAGAGGACCCTCGTGTAAAATGTAACAAATATTTATAGAAAGCGACGTTCTATAAAGAAATCTTCATAAATGTTCTATAACAGCACTAAAGAGATCTTTCAAATCAATAAGTAAATGGCTGATCCCCCAATAGAAAAGTGAGCAGAGAGCACAAAAAGTTAACTCACAAAAGGAAGGCTGATGAGGAAGCTGGCGATCTCACTAAAGCAAAGAAACAAATTAAAGCAAGTATAAGTACCATTTTCTTTTAACCTATCAGATTGGTTCAGCTTTTAAAAAGTGATTGGCTTCAAGGTTGTCAAAGGCATTGTTAAATGGGTACACTTGTGGCTGACAGGGCTCCAAATTGAAAGAAACCTCCCAGAAGACAACTTGGTCATGTGCACCAGGATTCTTAAAATGTTGACATGCCCAAAAGAATAAAATAAAATTTTAGAAAATTTTCCCAAGTGGAGAGTTATTTATAATAGTGCAGGATTAGGAATTGTATACTCATCTAACAATAATGTAGTAACATTATAAATTATGATATGTCCATAAAATAGGATGTTCTGTAGCCACTAAAAGCACTATTTTCAAGTAAGTTACAATGATACAAGAAAATCTTCATAATGCATTGGCAAAAAAATAAATGAATAAATAAAAGTGTGACCTGAAACTGTCCATACAGCATGATTCAGGTTTTATAATTACACGCATACAAACAGAACAGACTGGCTTATGATTATCTCTGGCGATCATTGCATCCACTTCAAAAATGTCCCTAAATTCTACAATGGATCTTTGTTCCACTTAGAACTAGGATAAAGAAGGAAAAGACGTTTGTTAAGCAGGTAAAATATTGCTACCTTGTATTAGTTTCCTAGAGTTTCTGTAACAAATTATCACCCATTTGGTGGCTTAAAACAACAGAAATTTATTCTCTCGCGTTCTGGAGCCCACAGTTCAAAATCAAGGTGTGAGCAGGGATGTGCTTCCTCCGAAGTCTCTAGGGGTGTATCCTTCTTTGCTTCTTCCAGCTCTTCGTGGCTCCACGAGGTTCTTTGGAACCTTGGCTTGTGGCTGCATAACTCAAATCTCTGCCTCTCTCTTCATGTGGCCTTCTTACTTCTCGCCAGGTCTCTCCTCTGGGTGTCCCTGATAAGAACACTTGTCATTGGGTTGGGGGCCCATCCAGTTAACCCAAGATGATCTCATGTCAAGATCTTAAATTTAATTTCAATTGCAAAGACCTTTTTGGGAAAAGGTTGACAGGTTCCAAGGGGTAGGGCATAGACATACATATCTTTTGGAGGGCTACCATTCAACCCACTATATACTGTAAGTCAGTTTTACTTGAATTATAAATGTGAAGTATGCAAATACGAAAAAAAAATTTGTGTCGCATGTAGGACTATTTCAATTACAAGTAACAGAAAACCCAACTCAGGCTGGATTAAGTAAGAAAGGAGATTGTTGATTTACCCAACTGTCTTGGGCTAAGCAAGCTACAGATTTCAAGGCCCAAACACTATGGTTAGGACTGATTGTCACACTCTCCAACCCTCTTGCCTAATTCTTTCTTCCAAGGTGACCAGGTAGCTCTGGCTCAGTGGGTTGCTGGATCTAGCTCATACCAGCTTTTGGAAGACAACTAAGCTTTCAGAAATGTTGTGAACCTATTGTTAATATAGCCATTATTTGAAAAACAAATATATAAGCCTATAATTAAATAAGTTATATATAAAACCAACGTAATAGGTATTCAAAACTCATCTCATCTCTTCCTGGTTATGTTACTACATTTTGCTAATATCTACACTCTTGAGTTTACTCACATCTATGGTATTTATCTTTTATTTTATTTTATTTTATTTTATTTTATTTTATTTTTTGCCACTATATATCCATTCCTAGCTCCATCTTCAGCCACACTGTGTTCGAGCTTGAAATCAGTCATGGTGGAAGTATTTACACCACAGGAGTTGGCAAACACTATACATCAGGACTGGTTGAGCTTTTTTGTTTGGAAGGTAATTATTAAACATTCACCAACACAACATCACTCTAGCTGCCCCAACCTCAGGTTCAAGAACAACAGGGTGGTGACAGCATCCTCAGAAGTGTGAGATCCATCCTGATTGTATATTTTGGTCACATCCTTGAAGCCAACACCAAGGCCAAGGGGAAAGTGATACTCTGTCCTCTATCTTGGAGTTAGTTCAAAGACTGACCCCTGACCCCCATGTGAAAGTCAGGGGCTGTCATTGGAAGAAGGGAGAATGGCTACCAGAGAAACCTCACAATATAGCCACCATAGCTTGTAAAGCAGCA